GTCAATTTGTGGTAAGTTCTTTGTGAACTTACTTTTCATTATGTTGAAGTTATGAATAAAAAATGGATATAACCAATTAGAAAAAGTTTGACAAATTAACATGGGAAAATAATGAGTTGTTTAATCCAAGTGAAACACATTCAAGAACAGCACTGGAAGGATGGTTACTAATGCCACAGGCAACTGAATTAGATAGAAATATTATTGGCAGTCAGACAGTTGCTAGGTCCTCAAAAGGAGCCAGGGCAGAAGGCCAGATACCTTGCAACCCTGGAGGACACAAACACCTCCCACTGTGGGCCAAGTCTCAAGACAAAAGATCAAACAAATATATCCACATCCTAAGGATTGATAGTCTAAATAGTTCTCTATCACCCTAAGGAAGCCAGGAGTCACCATCTCAACCCCCTAAGAGAGGAGTCATTGCTCTTTAAGCAGGCCCACTTGCCATGTGACTCATTTCCCCATTTGTGCCCAATTTATATCAATTTTACCTAAGCAATTAATGTATTGTTGGGGCATAATTCTGTCCCACTTTATGCCACCTGTAAGTTCCCTTATTTTTCCCATCTTGGATCCCTCTCAGATTGCAGTTTGCTCTACAAAATCCCTACCAAAGAATTTGGCAACCCACTCAGGAACCCTTCTGTCTCTCAGACAAAAGCTTTCTTTCTCTTAATAAATACATTCTGCTTTTAACTTCCATTGTTCCTAAAATTCATTCTTCGATTTTAGAGAACACGAACTCATACTGGAAATACACAGTATGTTGGGAGTGTCATTCCCCTATATCACTAATAGGTATTTTTGATATGTAACTTTACACACAAAAAAACTGATTTCAGGAGAGGCTGTACTGAACTGTTTTCTCCCATAAAGTATAAGAGATCCCATTGATTCACATAATTTCCAATATCTAGTTGTTGGGTATGACTACGAAGCAGCTCTGAGTATGATTTAAATTTTACTAATTGGCTTTCTATGTTTATCTGTAAGTCTGTCCTAGGCCTAAGCCCCTGGCCCAGCAACAGGAAGTGATTTATACATAGTAAGTGAACCTCTATGAATCTGGTCCTGGCTGAGGCCTGTAGTGGCCTATGAGCCCAGAGATACCTCAAAGGGCAAGATAAGCTCACAACTGTGGACACTCTGGCTCCAATCACAATTAACAAGGTAGAGACTACAGCTGCAAAGCTTACTCCTGCAGTTTCACTTCTACCATGTTTTCATGATAAGACAGTGCTACTAAATTGACTTGTTTCATGACTTGGAGACATCTTTGAAGTGATCCCACGGTCCTGCTCATTGCCAGCACTTTCCTCAGTTTCTCCATCCTTTTTCCTTGGTCCTAATGTGAGTGAACTGATCCAGAGAAGCCTCTGTCTTTACCCTCAAGCCTCGAGCTTAATTAAAGGGTTTTGACCCTCCTGGAGCCCTAAAAATCATACAATTTGTCTGTTTTTATTTAACCTCCACCGTACTCTTGTTTGGAAGATCAGGGATCTAGGACAAAACCCGCTATCTAGTGTTCTTAGGCACCCAATTTTATTAACTATGCAGTCATCAAATATGTAACTGTATACAACTTTTTCTTTAGATTTCTAAAGAAATCTTCACACAGAATCTTAGTTCAACGAATAATCGATGTGCAAAATTCAAGTGAGTCTAAACTGGAACCAAGATGCCCTGTTGTTTTTATTTTAAACTTCAAATCTTCTACTTCTTTTTTCCATATTTCCAGTTTCCTACATTGCCTCTCACACTATGACATACTGTCTTTCAAATAACAGAATGCTAAGTCACAGCCTTTGAATTAGCTTTGGTACTAGCATGGGATAAAACCAGTGAGTATTCTAAAGCAGGGAAGACAGAGCTACAGAATTTTATGCTATTAATCTTGAAAAATAAGAAGAAATGTTTCTAAATCACAGTCCATAACTAACTTAGAGAAGGGAAAATACATCATAAATACTTTATAAACATGGAATATGAGTAACTTAATTAGTAAAACAAAAATGAGAAATTTTAAATGATAATAGAAACAATAACATATACTATTATGATAATACAAATTTGACTATTATCATTTCAAGAATTTGACTCCTAAACTTAGGGAATAATAAACATAAAAATGCTTAAATAGAAAAGTTTTAAAATTTAAAAATCTATAAAACCTTAGTAATTTCAAGATCCATAGCACATTGTTTTCAGCTAAAACTATTTGAAGAGTTTGAGACACAAAGATGCAATTTATACCAAAGGGCTAATTTACAGCTTGAAATGGTCACTTGCTTATCACAAAATTAACTCTGTATGATGTATAATATTCTTGTTACTTCCATTGAAACATAAAGAATAAATGACAAACTGTATCATGTAAAAAATCTCTACTTATTATCAATAAGAAATTAATACTATAAATGACAGTAGAGACCAAATAAGATGAGTGGGAGTATTAAGAAGATTTAAAACATACATACATATATAAAAGCATACATATTATGCTTTTCAAGATTCAAGATCTACATTAAATTATCAGTCTTCTAAATGAAATGTAACCTAAGTGTGAAATAAGTACTAAAATACATTTTCTACTTCGTATTAATAAAAATCTTTTATACAAAAAAGTCTCTTTGGGGACTGGGGATTTAGCTCAGTGGCCTAAAAGCCTGCCTGGCAAGTAGCAAGTACAAGGTCATGAGTTCAATCCGGGTACCAAAAAAAAAAAAAGTCTCTTTGGGGGCTGGGGTATAGCTCAGTGGCATAGCACTTGACTGGCAAGTACAAGGTCCTGCGTTTGATTCCTGGTAGTAAAAAACAAAAAAAGTCTCTTGAAAAGTGCTTGACAACACTTCTAAATAATCCACACTGGGTTTCTTCTATACTTAAAACAGATACAACCAGAAGGATTCCATTTATAGCAATGGTGGCAACTCTATAGCATGAGTGCCACAGGGGGAGTGTTTGTATCACCGAAAGCTCTAAAAGGTTCGCCATCACTGATCCATAGTGTAAGATAACAGTAAATTATAATATACTACCTAAGTTAAACGATGACTATAATGATTAAGATATTTCTCCTGACCATTGACAATGCTAAGTAGAAATCAATTGTAATTACAGAGACAGTGAATACTAAAGTAATTAGCAAAGAAAATTGATATATGTGAACAGTGTCATTTAATGCAGAAATTCGATGTTATAATTTACTACATAATATTTGTAGGTAATATCAACTAAGCCAAGAAAAGCAGTCTTAAAAAGCAATGTTAAGTCTCTTAATACCATGATTCTCAAATCAATTTCCTTGCTGCAAATATCTGTCAAAGAAAAAATTTTTAAAGGTTTAAAACACTTCACCAAAACTTTATTATTATGGAGGTATGATTTTTTATTTGAATCCATATATCTGTATTGTTACCTTTAAAAGCAACTAGAAAAATTGAAATAATGTCTATATAAATAAGAGATTTACATTAAACCAGTCATAATGGCAGCAATTTACTAAATCTTGTTTAATGGAAAGGTGGAAAAATTCCAGTTAAACTGCTAAATGTTTTGGAAAAGTACACATAGTATTATCTCTGGCTAATTGAGTACCTTTTGTTTAATTGCTATTCCAAATGCTGCAAATGTTGTAGAAGTTATTTGAGGAAGCTGAGGTGTTATTCTGAGAAACAATCAAGCATAGTGAACTCACAGTTTCTGTTCCATTAAATGAAAAAACAGCAAAATGTATAATGGCTCTTGTGATGATTAAGCTTAATTGTCGACTTCACTAGATTAAGAGACCCCTGGTGAGGCCACTGAATCATGAAGGTGCCTATCTGAACATGCTGGTAGGAGGCGAGCCCAGGTGGAGGTAGTCACAGGGAGTAGCTGTGCCTTTGAAAGGCATGTCTCTTGCTAGGACTCTCCCTCTGCGCTGCTGTACTCTGCTTCCTGGTTGCTATGAAGTAGGCAACCTAACACACCTTTCTGCCAAGAAGTTCCCGACTTGAAGTTAACTGACCATGGACTGAATTTTCTGAAGCTGTGAGCCAAAAACATGTGTCTTCTTTAAATTGTGAGCATCAATCAGGTATTGTGTCCCAGCAATACAAAAGCTGAACAACATAGATCTTTATAGACAACATACACAATTAATATTATCTGAACCTTAAAAGTTGTTTTTAAAATTGTGTGTATATGTGATAAATAAATAAGAAGTACAAAGGAGTTCAAATTCCCAAATTATTTTTCCCATTGTATCAAAAATATGTAATACATATGCAAATTTGTTTCACTTATGCCACTAGCTTTTTCTTAATTCATTGAAAAGAAAGTTTGAGGTTATTATCTGTTTCTTCTTTGTAAGAGAAAATTTTTGTTTAGGTCTTTTACTCTGAGTAACTGCACTGAAGATAATGATACAGATAACTATTGTTACTCTCATTTTCTTGTGAAATTCTGTGCTTTTTCTTTTTCTTTGTTCTGTGCTGTTTTCTTTGTTCTCTGTTTCTTTGTTTCTTTTTCTTTGTTTTGGTGCCCAGATTCAAACTCATGACCTTGTGCTTACCAGGAAAGCGCTTAAGCCATTGAGACCAAATTCTGCTTTTTCATGAAGTAAAAAATTAATTAAAAAAAAAAAAAAAAACTAGTGGCAAGCTGGCATTCTCCAATGGATCATAGTTTACCAATATCTAGAACAGATCAAAGAGAAGAGAAAAAGGAAGAGAAGAATGGGATTTGGGAATAGGAAGAAAGAAAATAAATATTTAAGAATTATTATTGCTGAGAACAAGTAGCTATTTGTGAGGTTGAGATTATCTGTTCTACTGACCAGCTTTGTGAGACCGAGAAAAAGAACAAAGTGCTTTTACTTTTTTTTTTTTTTTTTTTTTTGTGCTTTTGTATGACCCATTTCCATGCTAACTGAACTAGATGCAGCAGCATTGGTACATTAGCACAAATAATAAAAATACTGATCTTCAGAAAGTTCATCAAGGAACCTGACTTACCTTAGTAATGGGTGAAATATGACAGTAATGTTTCTGGCTCCAGGTTTGCACACAAATTTTGTTCCTCCACCTTCAATTAAGTTGTCATCAGGACCCCCTTGGAGGAAAAAAAAAAAGAGAAAGTTAGCTTATTGGAACTTTTTACAGATAAATAAGTCAGGCCTATCTACATGGCTGTTATACTGTCATACGGATGATCTTTGGAAAGAAATTATCTTCAAAATCTGAAAATTATTTTGAATAGCTTGATCCAGTCTTTCTCACTTGATTAAACTATAGATTACAATGTTTACATGGGAGTGAGAAAAGTTAAAGAAATTTAGTAAGTTTAAATGACATCCTAAAACCAAAAGTACAAGTTTATAGTCAACAAAGATTACAACCTTAATCTCTAGTTACTAGTTTCTGATCCAGAAAGTAGGTAACACAAAACTTTAAAGAAGCGCCATTCAATGTTGTTCCAGGCTGTAAAGACTTACGCAGGGACTCAGACATGTAACTGAACATATATCATCAAATTTAAGATCCCACTCACTGTAAGATGCACTATTATTTTATGCACCACTAGGAAAAAAATCCTTTTAACTAAACTGTACAATGCTTTTTAAAAAATCTTTATTTTTTCAGACTGGGAAGTTTTTAGGGTTTCTCAGTAAACATAGGTTTACCATACATCTGTGATACACATTCAGTGTATCACACTGGAAACAGAAACACACAAACAGAAAAGGAAACAGAAGAAATACAAACTCATCATGCCACACTTAAAAGTGTATTACAATCTAACTCTTCGGAATGACTGATTCAGAGTTGTCAATATTCTTGTTTTTTAATTGTCATCATATGCCACCATAAATGTGAATATTTTAAAGAAGTGTTCTATATTGCAGTCAACAATTTATTCAGATTGCTGGTACTCATTCTGCAAAGTAAAAAGCTGGTACTTCTGGGGCTGGCGATTTAGCTCAGTGGCACAAGGATCTACCTGGCAGGCATAAAGTCATGAATTCGATCCCTGGTACCAAAACAAAAACAAACAAACAAACAAACAAAAATGAATAAAGCTGGTACTTCTTTGATGATGTTAGAATATTTAAATAGAAGGCTGTCCTATACCAGCCAGGACTCATATTCCTTCGTCAATTGGATACTAACTGGTTACTTAAGTGAAACCTAAGAGGATTACAATGCAAGAAGTAAGCACCAAACTGAGTTAACAACATTCACTATGATTATTTTCCAAAGGTAGACAGTCACTTAGGTGCCACTTATTTAAGATACAACCTAATTTCAGAGATTAGAATGTGGAAAAACCTTTGGATTTGGGGAGAAATGCTTTCACTATCACCAACATCACATTTTTTCATTAAAATTAAATTCAATTAATGTCCTTGTTATCCACTCCAGGGAATTGAAGTAATTCCTTTGATTGGTGGAAACTGAAAGGAAAAAATGGGCGTGCACGGCTTAGCAAGCTCCTAACCCCACCTAGGAAAGAAGAAGGTCTGCAGCTAGTAAATATTGTCTAGTACAAGTTGAGTTGTAAGGCTGGCACTGTAGCTCAGTTATAAAGTGTTTGTCTAGAATGCTTGAGGTCCTGGTTTCAATTCCCAATATCACAAATAATAATGATAATAACAATAATGATAATAATAAAAAGGAGGAGGAGTTGTTTAGATATAAAGATACTGCTTTTAAAAAAAAGGAATGAAGTAGTCCAGCACATTTTATAAATGAGTAAATAAATCCTTCTTTAAGGTTCAGTTGTAAAGCTCATTGATTCTCAAACTAGGTAATGTTCTTCAAGCCAGGTACTATCAGTAGAGAAGAGGAGTTTCACTTTCCTTGTACTATAAGCTATTTGTTTTACTTTAAGATTTCTCGCAAGAAACATGGACACTACTTAAGGGATTTCTTAAAAACCCTAGAAACCTACACCTATAGAATTTTATTTATTTCTTCTAAAATAAACATTTTTCCTGATGATAGTTCTTTGCATGATACCAATTACCAATAAACCTCATTGACTTATTATCTATCATAATACTCTCTGATGGTGATATGGACTAATAAATACATGTGAAGTTTCAGAATTGCATACTCTTGATCATAGAAACTTCCCAGAAGAATCAAAATCTAGGTAAACACCAATAGAATTGCTTGTATCTATGAACTAATCAGTGCATAATTTTTCTAAGAATAATAGGTGTGGTGGCACACCCAGGAAAACCTAGCACTCAGGAGATTGAGACAAAAAGATTGCCAGAGTTCAAGGCTAACCTGGGTTACATAGTGAGACCCTCTCTCAAAAAAAAAAAAAAATAAATAGATACAAAATTTAATATATAAAATATATTTTGTAAATATTATATATGTATAGATATATTACAGCATTAATAGCTCTTAACCCAAAATCATAATCTGCTTCTTATCACTTGAAAGAATCTAGCCTGTAATGCCATTTATGAATCAGAGAAATTAGTGTCCTGCTATATACTGAAGTTAAAAGCAAAATGAAAACATCAAGACTAACAGAGGCTGGGTATGCAGGTTAGTGATAGAACACTTGCTTAGTAAGAGAAAGCCCCTGGTTCACTCAATTCAAAACACTCCTTTCCCTCCCCAAATTTTAGCATAAACATTATTAATATTTAATAAAAATATCCCAAAATGTCATATAGTATGGTTATAAACAGAAAAAAGAAACTCAGAACAAACACATCTCATCTATCAACATACAATCTAATTAGAAGTGAATTACCAATGGCATGTATACTGAAGAAACTAGGTTACAGTTTGGAAACCGAGAGCAGCATAAATAACTTCCACTGAGATAAACACAAAAAGCAATGCTTTATTCTACTTAATTAAGTTAACGTATCTTTATGGAGTATATATGCGTTGGAATAATTGAGTACCAATGGTTTCTAAATATTCTATTCTCTCTCTCTCTTTTAGATTTTAAATGTTCAGTGATTGAATTCAGACTTGAACAACTTCATTCCAATCAAGCTAGTTGCTTCATGCACACTGAAAACATAGTTTGCACAACCACATGTATGCATTGGCCAGCCAGGGCTCCCACCTGAGGTCCTTCTCTCTACCTACCAATCTTTTATACCCCATGTTTCCTCAAAACTGTGAAATACCCTCCCTGAAAGCCCACAATTCTTTTAACATCAACTTTACCTAAAACAACCTATATGAACCTTCAAATAGGTCATTTTCAATATTGTTATATGTTTTTTAACTTTTACCTAACTTTTCTTGCTTGGATGCTAAGTTACTGGAATGTGGTTATATAAGCAGACACTTGCAGGATGAATGAAAGAACAAAGGCTTAAATAGGTAAAATGTTACTAGAATTAGATAAGAAAGAACGTGTGAAAAGTCTTGGTAAATTGTCAAAAATCTAACAAGTGTAAGCAACTCATAAACAGTAGGTATGCTCAATATTTTTGATGATAGTAATGTAAGGAATAAAGATAACAAAATGCATGATACAAACCAAAATTAAGCAAAGTGTTGTTAGAAGTATCAATTATAGAGAGATTTTGCTATAGAAATCAAGACTAGAAAATAATAGTTTCATTAGTTCTAAACCTCTGCTGGTTACAAAAAAGATAACTGCTGATTGACATAGTGTACTAGAGCTAAATAAAAAGTAAAATCTGGACAGAAATAAGAAGGAAAAAACCCACTCTCCTCCCTACCTCAATCCCTAGCCAAAATTCTACCACAGGAACTTTAATCAAGTGGCAACTACATTGTATTTATTTATTTTTGGTTTTTTTTTTCTGTTTTTTCTACATTGCATTTTGCAGTGATTTCTTCTTAGTCAATCAGATGTCCAAATCAATCTTACAAAATGCTATGGTATGAATATGTCCCCTAAAATATATGTGTTGGAAACTTAAGTTAAATGGTGTTAGAAGGCAAGAGCCTGTGCCACCAGGGCTCTCATGAATGGATTAAGGGTCATATCACAGGAGTGAGTTGGTTATAAAAGGCCAAATTTGAACTACTTCTCTCTCTCTCTCTCTACCCTCCTCCTATGGGATGATGATATTCTTTATCCCTGGATCTTGAGCTTGCCAGTCTCTAGAATCATAAGCCACAAACTTGTATTCATTGTAGACTATGTAGACTGAGATATTCTATTACAGCAGTACAAAAATGGATAAGGTACTAAATAACCAATGAACAGCACCAGCCCAAGACACTTGAAAATAAATTTTTCATCGCCAAAAGTAAAGGCATGGCTAAAGACTATACGGTCTCTTGAGTCTAGATATCTAGATATTTTCTAGCATTTTCAGTGTTCTGGTTGAGAAACAAAACTTCTCTCACTTACCTTTCTATCCATCATCAAGTAACCCTGTCATGAACATTAAGGAGTATGTTGCTCAGTCCTGAGAAGAGCACTTCCTGGCTGGAACATCTCTCTCTACCATTCATTTTTACAATCTAATGTCACCCGGGAGAAGCCAGCTTCCAGGCTCCAGAGAAAAGGCTGAATATTGATGGATTGTTGAAACGAAAGAGAAACTAACAATGGTATTACAAGTAGAAAATGTAGTGTCAAAGGAAAAAGAAATGTCCCAGTCCTATTTCCTAGGGTTTTGTTTTGTTTTTTAACAATGAAGAAGCTCATTTGACATATTCTCCCAGATGACCAGCAACAAGTATCAAGGCCACCTAATAACTGTGGATATGACAGCATTTCAGGACTTGTAGGATGGTATCTTCCTTTAGAATTCATTTATTTTTAAGACATTAGCTTCAACATTTTTTCCTTCCCAACTAAGGCTTGCTGTCATTGATAATTATTACAGTCACCTTAAGAAAAGACACAGAAAACCAATGTCTCAGAAAGAAATGAGAAGAATGTTCACTGAAATGATTATGGTACAGCAGAAAGAATCAATATAATTTTGTGGTCCCACATCTGCTATTATTACAAATGTGATAAAATTATTTAAATAATCTAAGCTTCAGCTTCCCCAATTATACATGGACTGCAATAAACTCTCAAAGACTCGTGCTGATGTTCAAGTAAAATAATATGAACCAGAGCACTTAGAATAGTGTTCATTA